TCACTCACTCACTCACTCACTCACTCATTAGCATGTCGACGGATAAGATAAGACAATGGATAAGACAATTAATAAATTCGGTATCACATGATTATTTAAACCATCAAGATCTCAGCTGTGTCATTCTAAGTCTCCTCAACCTCGCCCAATATTAATTGATTTTATGAAATAAATACAGTGGAACCCCGCCTTACGGCCACCCGCTTAATACGGCCATACATTTTCTGTAAAATTCACCCGCTTAATACGGCCACCTATTAATACGGCCAACGGCCACTTCTTTGTGGCCCGATTGACAACCTTCCATATTTGTTAAACCCGCATTGTGGCCAGGACAAGTCGGACTTCAAGAATATTCATATTTCACTTTTAAGTAAAATTTGTTATATTGTTTTAATTAAAATTTGTTATATAGTTACGTACTGATCAACAAAACACGTGTTTTTGATGTATTTTTTGACAGCCCTCTTAATATACGGCCACCCCGTTGATACGGCCACTTTGGGCTGTCCCTTCGGTGGCCGGATTAACGGGGTTCCACTGCACATGCAAGTGTTACAGTTTAGAAACACGATGGCACTGGCACCACCTTCCTGAAAATATATTAGAAATAAAACTAAAGCCATTAAGGTTTTTAAGTCAATAAATAATATGTTGTGCCGGTTCTTTGAGTTTGAGAAGTTGATGGGGAAATGAGATGGAAACTAGGTGGAATTCTTTTAAATAAGCATATGAACATCCTAAATAGTCTAAATCCAATTGTTTCTTGAATCCCTATATGCATGGATAAACAAGTTATCATCAACTTTGAACACGGGGCTGAGAGCAGAGTTTCTCAATTCTTGTGTCTTTTTGCAACAATTATCTATAATATGCTGACTTTAAGTATCCCTCATTGTTTTACCTGTAATACATATTTGGAATTACTTAGAAAAAAAATTAAATGGAAAGAGCTATATAGTTCGAAACATGAATTTTATTTTAAAAACTTCTGTACGATGTATATCATACAGTCGAGCCTCGCTTGTGTAAAAGAAAATAACTAAAGCAATGCTAGAGTGCAAACACTATGTTTGAACTTTAACGATCAACACCAACAACCAACCAACAAACCAGCGACAGAACTTTACCCTCTCGGTTCAAGAGGATTCAACGCAGCCGGACAAGACGATATTTTATGAGAAATATGATCTACCTTGTGCATTCTTTTGTCGTCCTGTGACCAAAACAATCGGACCTGGTTCATCAGCTGTAAAAGAATTAATAGAAAGTCAATAGTGTAAAACATTCAAAAATACCGGGAGTATGGGYAGGAATCGCTGAAGCATGTTACTTGTGTATACATATGTACAGTCAATACAAAAAACGTTGTCGTCGACCGGCTCAAGCCTACGCTACTGGACCGAAAGCGAATATGGGTAAAAATCACTGAAGCGGTTAAATATTCGTTCTAAATAAATTGTCTCGCTAGTAGCTAAGATAATAATGGCGAGAAACAATCCATTAAATGAATGTCTTCTTGGGTTTTAGGGAAAGAAAAACAAAGTAGTTATGATTCAGTTCACAATTTCGAAAATATGAAGGCATAAAAAAAACGTCTCCTTCAACACTTCCCGCTCGCCTACGAAGGTTCGTGCTGTAAACCAGGCATAACTAGTCAGATAAAATTATGGAGTCAACTCGGCTTCAATGATTACTGCCCAGAGTTCCTTTCGGTCCAGTCGCGTAGGCTTGTGATGGTCGACGACAACGTTTTTTGAATTGACTGTATCTTGAGGCCTACTCTGCACTGAGTCCTCACCCCGCGTAGAAATCGCCCAACATCGCCTTAGATCATCCAAAGTGTAAGTTGGTACTGACAAGGCAGAAAAACGACAAGCCCGCTACTTTCACAATTTTTTAAAATTCAACAGAGTTTAATACTCCAAATTTTTAAGCGTTTTATTTGTGTCACTGCTGCTCGAAACTTGTTACCAAAATTTAGTCGAATTATCAGAGTTCATGTTCTTAGTATACACGAATATGTCAGTTTTTCTGCTGATCAAAGTATCACCTCTCCCAAAGTACACGGCTTTATATCTCAAATACGCATTCAATAAATTTTGGTCGTTTTTGATATTTTGCGATTTGGCTCCAAAAGAATGTGTTTACAAAATAATGACCTTAAATACGTAAAGCTGGCCTTATGTCGCTGGTACCTCTTAGGATGTTTGTCATTAAAAAAGATACCCAAGATCAGTTAGCTTAGCTATTCAAAGCCATTTGAAAATATGCTAATAGATGCTCTAGGGATTTTTATAAAATATTTAAGATATAATGTGAAGAACTGAGAACTGTTTATATTCTTATTTACATATTAATTTGGTTAATTCTCTACTTTCACATCCCCATAATACTTTGCGTCTTTGGGGGGTAACCAGAGGGTAAAAACCCACTTATTTTGCTTAAGGCTGTTCAGACAATGTTGATAATACCTTGTTTGGTATGCAAAAATAAAATGAAGAAGCAAAAAACAGAAAAAGATAGAAGCTTGAAGACGTTTAAGGTTAATTTTGAAACATTTTTTCGTAGGTCAATACATTTACAAAACTCTTGATGATCTGTACACGCAAAAATAACTTGGAATAAAATGATAATCAGTATTGTACAGAAAAAAACAGGTATAGTATAAATTTAATTAAGAAACCTTTCAATTTGGGACAGTTTTTTGATTGGTTACCACCCAAAGACGCAAGGCATTATGGGGATGTGAAAGTAGAGAATGTTCACCATGATTGATTAGTTGATTATTGACAGATCACGCGAGAACTTAGGACTCATGAACACATGCAAAGATTTTGAATTGTTTCATTTGGATTTTGACTGATTATCATATTCTACGAATCATTCTATGTAAAACTCTAATTAACGAAACGTGACTAATCTAAATAAAGAGGAAATCTTTACATATTACACGCGCGCTGATTGGCTGGCTACCGTGTTTATATTAGAGGTCAGTGACACGCTGGCGCAAACTCAGTGAGAAAATATTTCATAAAAGCAATATCAAACAGCTGCCCATGTCTCAGTACTGTAATATAAAACACTCTGGGAGCCGTAGAACAGTCGAAAAGCGAGAGAAACGTGCTTGCTTCTCTTTTGCTCCACAGTCCCCATAGTGTTGATATCACAATACAAAGACACACGCCCGCGTTTAATGAGGTTATTGATGGCAAGCTGGAGTCAGAGCTGCTTAGCCCGCCAGCCTCCCGCGAGCAAGTGGAACCTAATCCTAACATTTCCTATTCTGGGTTACATTGGCCTTGTTCCAGGCCAGAGTCCGCATACCTCATTAATATCAATACAGTAGGGCAGAATATTATGTTTCAAGTGGAGAGTTTTCATTGGCATGTAAAATGGATAAAACAATTAATGAATTTGGTATTCACATGATATCGTAAACCATCAAGACCTCAGCTGTGTCATTCTCAGTCTCCTCGACCTCATCCAATATTAATTAATTTTATGACATAAATACATGCAAGTGTTATAGTTTAGAAACACGATGGCACTGGTACCACCTTCCTGGAAATATATCAGAAATAAGACTGAAGCCTTATATGTTTTAAAGTCACTAAATAATATTTTGTATTCTTTGAGTTGTGGAAGTGTGGGAGAATTAGATGGAAACCAGGTGGAATTCTTTTAAATAAGCATATAAATATCCAAAATAGTCTAAATCCAATTGTTTCTAGAAGCCCTATATGGATAAACAAGTTATCATCAACTTTGAACACGGGGCTGAGAGCAGAGTTTCTAAATTCTTGTGTCTTTTTGCAACAATTATCTATAATATGCTGACTTTTAGTATTCCTCATTGTTTTACCTGTAATACATATTTGGAAATACATAGGAAAAGAATCAAATGAAAAGAGCTATAGTTCGAACCTTAAATTAAAAAAAAAACTTCTGTACGATGTATATCATACAGTCGAGCCTCGCTTGTGTAAAAGAAAATCCTAACTAAAACAATGCTAGAGTGCAAACACTACGTTTGAACTTTAACGATCAACACCAACAACCAACCAACAAACCAGCGACAGAACTTTACCCTCTCGGTTCAAGAGGATTCAACGCAGCCGGACAAGACGATATTTTATGAGAAATATGATCTACCTCGTGCATTCTTTTGTCGTCCTGTGACCAAAACAATCGGACCTGGTTCATCAGCTGTAAAAGAATTAATAGAAAGTCAATAGTGTAAAACATTCAAAAATACCGGGAGTATGGGCAGGAATCGCTGAAGCATGTTACCTGTATACATATGTATCTTCAGGCCTTCTTTGCACTCGGCCCTTACCCCGCGTTAAATCGCCCAACATCGCCTTAGATCATTTCATGCTCATGTTACCTTTTAAGGTGCAAATTAAGATAGCAAAATTTGGTACCTTTTGGGACCGGGTCACTAATCTAAAAGGACCACCACAGAGTAAGCTGGTACCTCTTAGGGTGTTTGTCAGTAAAAAAGATACCCGAGATTAGCTGAGCTATTCAAAGTCATTTGAACATATGTTGATAGATGCTCTAGGGATTTTATACAATATTTAAGATATAACGCGTTCGCTGATTGGCTGGCTACCATGTTTAAACTAAAGGACAGTAACACGCTCGCGCAAACGCGTTCAAAAATATTTTATAAAAGCAATATAAAACGGCTGCTTATGTCTCTGCACTGTAATATAAAACACTCTGGGAGCCGTAGAACAGTCGAAAAGCGAGGGAAACTTGCTTGCTTCTCTTTTGCTCCACAGTTCCCAGAGTGTTGAATTGATATCACAATACAGAGACACCCGCGTGAGTTCAGCATACCCCTAAACCCGGACCTGGACTCGGACCCGGACTCAAAAACAAAAACAAAAAACAAAAAAACAAATAACAAAAAACAAAAAACAAAAACAAAAAATACATATATATATATATAATAGGACCAAAAAATAATAATAATGATAATATTACATTAAAAGATATATAATATATCATCTAAACCGTGACCTCAGGACACGACTCATTTGGCGTTTAAATATTCGTAATAATAGCTGATCTTTAGATGGGGCCAGACTGTTTGAATATTTACCAACTGACGTTTTAAATATTTGCCACTGAAAATATCTTGCTGTGTACGAATATCCTAAATAGTCTAAATCAAATTGTTTCTAGAAGCCCTATATGGATAAACAAGTTATCACTAACTTTGAACACGGGGCTGAGATTCTTAGGGGAACACAGATTTTCTAAATTCTTGTGTCTTTTTGCATCAGTTATCTCAATTATGCTGGGCGATTTTTAGTATGCCTCATTGTTTTACCTGTAATACATATTTGATAATACATAGGGAAAGAATTAAATGGAAAGAGCTATACTTCAAACGACCATAAACTAAAAAAAAACTCCTGTACAGTATATATCATACAGTCGAGCCTCGCTTGCCTAAAAGAAAATAACTAAACACTGGAGAGTGATCGAAATATCAAACAAAAAAATCATGCACAAAAAATGACTTCTCCTATTTACTTTTATACACCGTTCTCATAATGGCTGACAAGGGCACGAAAACGAGGTCAGCCAGTCATTTAGTTCACAATACAAGATATAAAATTAGTACATTAAATGCCTTTATAAAAGAAAAGTATAGAAATTTACCTATTGTTTTGACGTGAATTCGCGCTATCCACCTTTATTCTGAATGGGCAGCCTTGCTCAGCCTTACAAGATGACTGGGTGACCTCATTTTTGTGCGGTCGTCAGCCATTATGAGAAGGGTGTATAATACAACTATATGCCCGAACCAATATATTTACTATGTTTGAACTTTAACGATCAACACCAACAACCAACCAACAAACCAGTGACAGAACTTTACCCACTCGGTTCACGAGGATGCAAAGCAGCCGGACAAGACGATATTTTGTGAGAAATATGATCTACCTTGTACATTCGTTGGTTTACTGCTGTCGTCAAGAACATCATACATGTATGAAGTGCCCATGAAGTGCCTATGCTGAATTTCAGTATTCCTCATTGTTTGCATTTTACCTGTAATACATATTTGGAAATACATAAGAAAAGAATTCATAGAAAGTCAATAGTGTAAAACATTCAAAAATACCGGGAGTATGAGTAGGAATCGCTGAAGCATGTTACTTGTGTGTATATATATATATATATATATATCTTGAGGCCTACTCTGCACTGTGTACGGATTAACGAAGTACGTCATAGGTTTCCGAACACACGAGTGGGAATTAGAAAATTTGGTTCTCCTCACTTAGAAAAAAAAAGCAATTGAAGACACCAAGAATCGAACTCGGTACCTTCGGCACCAAAATACTACTACAAAGCCAACCCCAACCCTAACCCTAAACCTAACCCCTAGACCACGAAGTGAATTCGGTTGGGTGGTCTCATTTTTTAGTCATATTTAAACGATGTATCATCAGCGCGTGCACATAAATATTTATTATAGTTTAATTTATGCTATCATAGGGTACGATTACTAGCCGATTACTTGAAATTTGAATTTGAATAGAATTCCCCTGACAATAATTCCCGTACACGACAATATAACCCTTTAAATCGCCTAACTTCACCTTAGGTCATTTCATGCTCATGGTACCTTTTAAGGTGCAAATTAAGATAGCAATTTGGTACCTCTTGGGGCCGGGTCACTAATCTAAAAGGACCACCACAGAGTAAGCTGGTACCAAGGGTGTTTGTCAAAGATACCAGAGATTAGCTCAGCAAGTCAAGCGTGAATAATCAACAAGCAGCCGTGGGCGAAAATAGTTCTGAGCGTACTTATTTTCATTTGACTGCCTCAAAACCCTTCAATGCATGTGAAATTAAAGGAAAATATTTGTAAAAGATACATTTTTTAGTGACTTCATTTAGAAAAAAATCGTTCGACGATTTCTTGAATGCCGCTTTCATCGATATTTTCTATCGCTTTTGACAACAAATGGGGTCATATAGCTTCATATCAAAAAATCCATGACGTTAGAGAGAAAGTCACTATTTGATTCATACTCAACAGACCTTTTGCATATAAGACATGTGTCCCGTGTCCCGAAATGTCTCACTTATACCCGGGCATTGTTATTCAGGCACGCGGAAATGAGTATATTCCTCTTACTAGCGGTTTTCATGTCGGCTCTAATGTTCCATTTCTGCCATATTTTTGTGTCAGTTACCCACGCTGAAAAATATGTGTTTTGTATTTCGTGTTTCATTTATCAGAAACAATCATTAAAAACAATGGACTACTTCGACGATACTGCGACCATTGTGTTGAGGGGAACTTATAAAAGACTGTTTTTACAGTTATGGAGTCGATTAGCATTCAATAGATCTTTCCCGAACACGAAATGGTTTCAAGTCGAGGCTGGCCTTGATAAAGAAAAGAATCAAGGACCGCCTCCATTTCAAGCGAATTGGGGAAAGGTTTATTAATCGCGAGAGACGTTTTTGGGATATGAATTTGCAAGATGGATGTGAAATGATACCAAAATACCATTTACAACCAGCATTTTTGTGATAAGGCGATCACCTTCAATCGCAATGCATTATGGGGTGTCCAGGGGCAAAGCAAAACAAAAATGTCGGATRCCTGTTATAAAGAAAGTTTTGTGTATTTGTAAGTGCTTCCACTTCATTGTTGTTAATTTGTCTCTTTTTTTTACCATTAATTTGTGTTGAATGGAATGCTAATAGTCGCCAATACTATAAAAAATCTTATGGTATTTATATTGTTATTTACATTTTATCTAGC